CAGACTCTTTGTTGCTAGTATGTAAACACACAACTGGTTTTACATGTTCTTGTATCTGTTAACCATTTAACCATGTTAAAGTCATTATGCATTGATGACTTCTAATAATTTTGTGGATACTTTAGGACTTTATACATACAGAAGTGTATCATCTGTGAATGGTGAAAACTTTACTTCTTCTTTGACATTACAAATGTCTTCTATTTCTTTTTTGTGCCAGATTGTATCAGCTAGAATCTTCAGTACAGTGTTGAACAGACATTCTTATTTCAGTTCTTCTTTCATCATTAAATAGTATGATACCTATAGGTTGTTTACTTGGTTTTTAGTTCTGGGACTCAAAACCAGGACCTCTCACATGCCACATAAGCATTCTACCACTGAGCTACATCCCCAGTCCCTGGGCATAGGTTTTTCATTAGATGCCCTTTATTTGGTTAAGAAGGCTCATTTTTAATCTGTTAGTTAACAGTTTCTATTTTAAGTAGGTATAGACTTTATAAAGTATTTTTCTTTGTCCAATGAAATGATCATGTAGTTATCCTTTATTCTATGAATGTTCTTGCTGTACTATATTAATTGCTGATAGTTTTATCCTTTATTGTATTAGTGCATTATACTATATTAACTGCTGCTGAGGTGTATATATGTTCATAATTGTCATATCTTCCTTAGGCATAAACCTTTTTATTTATAAAATGTGTGACTTTGTCTTTAGAAATAGAGAGAGAGAGATAACAATGAAGAAGTTTAATTACTGCTTATACAGTTCAATGGCTTCTAAATAAAGGAAGATAAGAAAAAATATATTTATATAGGTTTTTACATTTGCCATCTCTGGTATTATTCTGGTTTTTTTTTCTGTGAATTTGTATTACCATCTCCTGTCATTTCCTCTTTTCTCTTTCTGAGATTATTTCTACGTTTTCCTGCCATTTTCTCCCTCTTCCTTTTTTGGACTCCCATTGTACATATGTTGACTTGCTAATATTTTCACATAGATCTTTGAGGCTATCTTCATTTTTTGTCATTTTTTTCTTTTCCATATTAGATAATTCTTATTAATACATTTTCAGGCCAGTCCTTCTTCCTTACATATGTTGCGTTTTTCCACTCTAGCATTTCCTTTTAGCTCTTTTTTTCATAGACATTCTTTCCCTGTTGAGATTCTCTGTTTGTTGAAATATTGTCATCATAATTTCTTTCAGTCCTAAGAGCATAATCTCCTGTAATTCTTTGTACATGTGTATAAAAGGTGCATTGGAATCTCTGTGTACTGAATCCAACATTACAGTTACCCAGAATCAGTTTTTACTGACTCCTTTTCCACTGAATATGTTTTTCTTCTTTTCCTTTCCCTTTCTGTCTTTCCCTCCTCCTTCCATTATGTCTTAATTTTTGCTAAAAAATGGACAATTTAGATAATATATTGTGGTGAATCTGGATTCTTACTGTGTGTATGTGTGTGTGTGTATGTATGTATGTACACGTGTGCGCATGCCAGTGTGTGCCAGTCCTGGGGCTTGAAGTCAGGGCCTATGTGCTGTCCTTGTTTTGTTCAAAACTAGCGCTGCACCACTTGAGCTACTACCCTACTTCTGGCTTTTTGGTAGTTAATTGGAGATAAGAGCCTCATGGATTTTCCTGCCTGAGTTGGCACCATGATCCTCAGAACCTCAGCTTCCTGAGTATGAACCATTCAAGGCTTAGATTCCTATATTTTTACATCATTTGTCTACTAATTTGCAGGATCTATTTGTACGTCTTGCAGTTTGCTCACTTGTGGCTTTTCTTCCCCAATTCCTATCACTATTGTATGAGCCTGGCTTTCTCAGCGATATCTTTTTGTGGGCATAACTTAGTGGTTAACCAATCGTTGGACAGAGCTTTTGCTCAAAAACCTCGATGCCATAAGGCTTCTCTCTTCTGCCCAGGGTTCACTGTGTGGGTTGAGGAATACATTGAAAGTTTAGCCAGTTCTCAGCCTGCTTTGCCCGAGGCCCCTCGCTTGCCTCTCTCAGGCCTCCCCTCACTTCTCATTCCTTCCTGGCCCATGGGAGATGGGTAGACAGTTTGTCTGGCAGGTCTATGACTCTGTCATGGCTAGGATCTCCCATTACAAGGCAAGTAGTCCTGCAACCTCAGGCTAGCAGACCCATGAGTTTCGCCATTCATTTCACCACTGGGTTTACTCTTTTCATTGACAGTGCAACCTCTTCTGGCAGGACCCAACCCAGTGAGCCCACCATTCTGGTCAGTTAAGCTAAGGGACAGGGTAGAGGCGTTCTTACTCATGGTTCTGCCGGCGTCCTGTGAATAAACACTTTCCAGTGGGATTCTGCCTTTGGCCGTTATGCAGGACCCTGAATGGTTATTTTACATGTTCAGTCTCTTACTTATTAGAGCAAGACGTAAATATAATAGATAAAAGTCTCCCCATGGGAAGATTTAGCCAGTCTACAGAATTGCTTTTTGTGTTTAAGATAGGGTTACTAGAAAGACCTCATTTTCTTTTCTTGCATGGAATTGGGCTCCTTCCTTCCCATAGTTCCAAACACTCAAAGAGCTTTCAGAGCCTGAGGTGCCCCAGGATGAGTAACACTAACTCCATGGGCCTGTGTTCACGCATTCCACCATCACAGCTGCCCTGTGTGTTCCCGGCTGTGTACGTTCACATCGGCTTCCAGTCCCAGCCAGAGCTTTGCCCATTCGCTGATCCATGGCAACAGGTGGGACCTGTTTTTGGCAAAAGTCTGTAAGAAAAATGCCCTAGTCATCAGTTTGATTCACTTTCATTTATCTCTGTCATCTGGGAATATATTAGAGATAGTATCGAGCCCAACAAAAGGTACATTCTGATTTTATTTTCAGTTTTTTGTCTAGACAGAGAAGACTAAGTACTTGGATATCAGAAAATACCTTCCATGAAAAATAAGAAAGAAGCACTCAGTGGAAGGCCAGAGGGGGTAACACTGCTTGTTCACTTTTTCCCTATATATTCTTAAAGAGAGAGAGGGAGAGACAGAAAGAGAGAGAGGGGGAAAGTTTAAACCCCACCACCCACTCATCAGGTGATTGGAGACTCTAGTTGTAAAAATGTGCTGCAGGCAGAAGTTCTGAAAAATCCCAGAAAGTGTTGAAAACATCTCTAAACAAGGTATTTTTCTTCTGCACCTTTCTTGCTAAAGGTCCCAATTGCTGCCAAGAAAACTAGTGAGAATGTTAGCTGCCAAATAAAAAATTTATGACAGTGTTTGGCAAAGGACTATCTCACTCTTGTTTTATACATTTCCACAGGCATTTGAAGGCAGCCTCTTTTTTTCTCCCTCCCTCCCCCCCATCTCTCCTTCCAACTTTGGGTAGCAAACCTTACTGATCACTGTTCTGAGTCTGTTCTCTAATAAAAGAGCAAACTCGTATAAAGTAGGATTAAGCAATATAACTTTATCCCCCTCCATAACCTCTGAAAATGTGAGGAAACTGCTTTCAAATATGAGCTGTTACATGGAAGGGGAAAAAGAGATGCTAGGACTGCTTGTTTAGAATAAACACATTTGTAAGAAAAGGAGTAAGCGTCTTGCCGGTTCACACGTGTTGGCACATCACAGTAAAAGGAATCTTACAAATCAAATTCCCTGAGTGATGCACACCCACCACGATTGCCACTGAATAAGTGGGGTCCGAGGGGCAGCAGCTGTGGCCTTGGGTCACACAGCCAAGCAGCAGCTCACCAGGGACAGGAGCTCTCTCATCTGGGTACCACGCTATCTCCTGCTTTGTACCCCAATTCAGCAGGGTTGTATGTTGGGTTCTACCACATCCACTCACCTGTAGTGTGTTTTATGAACATTTGAATTCTGATCTCTTCTACTTTCCGAAAATAGAGTTGCTTCTCTAAAACTGTTGCAGAAATGTAACACGTTGAAACTGAACGGATCCCATTGCGGTGAGTATCAATGAGACCTCTTGGCTGGATCAAGAATGTTTACCTAAGTCTTTAGAAGGGGAGAGGGATGGGAGTGCTCGTTAGAAAAAGAGGATGTGGAAGTGAATTTGGATAATAAATAATTCCGCAGGCTGGTGAACACCCTGGAATATTTTGCCTGCCTGACTGAGAAAACAGCAATATCTATCTCTGTCTTTTCAAAACCATTTGCAGATTATGCCTTCCGTTGTGAATTTAGAGCTGTTTAGCACATATTTCATGGTTCTAACTTATTCAAAAGCCTACGTTGTACCCTATTTCTCGCCTGGCTTAGGGCCGTAGAACATCTGCCATCTTCGTCACACGCTCAGTGATATGGAGGCCCAGGGCTAGGCTGAGGCTGCCTTTGGCTGTGACTGTTTTAAAGACATGAGCATTATTTGATATAAAGTATTGCAGACAGACCAGGAGTAAGCAGATTATTTCAGACAGCATTAGGACATAACCGAAGGAAGATTAGTTCGACATGAGGCAGATATCATAAGCAAATTAGAAAACCTCCCCAATTAGTAGAAGAAACCCAGATTTGGTCTGTTTGTGATCTTCTGCTGAAAGGCAAAGTAGGGATGTTAGGGGTTGCAGTCTTGATTTAAGTTGAAATGCTGGCATTTCCTATCAGTGCGTGTTCGCATCGGCTGCATACTGGCCTCAAAAATGAAGCAAATCTCTGTTCTCTTCCATGCTGCGGAGTCCCCATTCTGAGGCTCTATACATCGGGTAATGTTTTACTTGGCCCTGGAATAATCTCCAGGGCATATTTTAATGTTTCTGTGCTGGGGATATACAACATGACTCCAGTGTACCAGACTTAATCTCTCTTTTGTTTGTTTGTCTTGCAAAACATGGATCATGTTGAAGTCATAAAAGTGAAGTGTGCAAAATGCCAGATGCTACAAATACAATCAGATACTTAAAAATAGCTTCGCTGGTGGCGCTGCTTGAAATCTGAACTGGGCCTTGTTTTTACGAACAGGGTGGCACTTTTCCCACTAAGCTACCGGTGGTGTGCTCTGATCGGAGACACGCTCTGCTTCTGAGGCCACCGTGCAAGCAGTCTGGGTGTTGTGCTAACCCAGGCAACAAGGCCGCACGACATTGCTGCAGCTGCACATGTGTTATTTTTCTCCAAGTGTGCTGTGTCTCCTGCTTCTTAACTTCACGTGGTTCGCCGTTAAGTGGTAGGCAACAAAAAACCCCAGCCGATGGTACCCAACTTCTGTGTGGAAGGGGAGGAGCTCTTCCTCCTCATTTGTTAAGATCTGAAATGCATTCCAAATAAACTTTTATTTCCCTCTAATTCAAGCAACTACAAATAATCACAATGGCAGAATCTGTCTCTTTCTCTTTCAAATGTTATATTCCCTAGCCCCCTCTCCCCATCCATGTATAGACTTATCTAAGGAAAAACCAACATTTCTGTGTTGAATTGAACTTTCTTTCTGATTATAAAAACATCATATTTTTATATTCATTATCTCAAAAATGTTGCACAAGTATCAGAAATCAAAGAAAAAATTTTGAATCACAATCCTGATACCTTAAACATAATCATTTTATCTTTTAGTATATCTATTTTATATGTATATATACAAATACATATGGTTTTCTTTCAGCAACATTAAGATCATAAGATACATAATAATTGCAACCTTAACTTTTTACCTAACAATATAGGCAAGAAGTAGGTTCTTAATGATGATCAGGATATGGACAGACCTTTTAAACTTTCTAAATCATCAAGAACAAGTCTGTTGCTGGACATGGTGACTTATGCCTCTAATCCCAGCATTTGGGAAACTGAGGCAGGAGGTAAGACTCAAAGGCTAAACTAAGCTGCACAGTAAGAGCTTGTAGAGGGTTGGTCTGGGTTTTACTTGAATTGTTTCTAGGCCACAGACTCTCTGTCTCTGTCTCTGTCCCTGTCTGTGTGTGTGTGTGTCTGTCTCTCTCTCTCTCTCTCTCTCTCACACACACACACACACACACACACACACAAATAAAATATAAAAAACTGCTCAGTGTCATCTCAGTGTAGTTGACTTGTTTTTTTTTTAATTATCAATACCCAAATGGCATTGGTGGCAACTCTCAACTCACTGGTCTAAAGTAATCATCTTTGCCTAGCCCTTTGAGTAAAGCATTGAATTCTCTATTTTCACATGTGCGATTTCATTGTGTAGTAGAAAAAGACAGATGTTATCCCTGACTGTAATCTCAAAGGCATTGACTCACCTGGCATGAGAGCCAATAGGAGCTACAGAGTGGGTCGCCCATGATGGCCTGGTACTGTAGCTTTTGAATCTCATTTTAGGTAGAAGCAGCTTGGCCACTGACGGGCCTTGTGATATTGGGCAAGTTCACTCCCTAAACCTCAGTTTTATCCTGTGAAAAATGGGAACATTAAGGCTCTGGTCAAAGCTTTATTATGAGCATTAAACAAAAGAATTTCTCACGTTCTAGGTAGTAAGAGGCACAAAACGTGTTTCTTCTAATTAGCAATTTTTCTTTCTCTTACCCTATAACATTGTCCTATAATATTTCCTTTTCCAATCTATTCTCACCAGTATTTTGAGTAGTCATTATAATATATGTAGTAATACACAGTAGTTCAAACAAATGTAGACATGCATAAGATGGACGGACACCCACGTCCAGAGAAAAGCACTGGTCACCCTGGCTTCTCCTTCCCATCTTCTTCCCTTCTTCTTCCCTTTCTGTACAGACTTGCCACTGCATGTTAGACATGCCAGCTAGAGATCTGAACAAATGGAGCATACATTCTATTAGCCTGTTCCCAAAACATCCATGCCTCCCTACTCCATTCCTGATTTCGGATCATGCAAGAGAACTAAACTTCTGTCACCAGAAGACAAGATGGAAGGCTGGGCAGGGCTCATGGCATGACAAGGGGGAAAGAATATGAGAACGCCTCCAGAACCTGAGGTCTGGGCTATGGGTATAGCTCAGTGGAATGGCACTAGTGCACACACACACACACACACACACAACCTGAGATATCCAGGTGTGATATTGAGCTCCTAACCCACCAGACTGTGGCCTAGAAACAATTCAAGTAAAACCCAGCCCAACCCCTCACAAAACCAGCATCTCTACGAGGTCCTGAGTTGGCTTTGTCACCAGGAATGGTCACCTTCTTGGAAGAATTATTACACTGAGTATCTTTAACCACTGGGAAGAAATGCTCTTCCTGGACCCTTAGAGGTTATTCTGTTCACATTAAAAGGGAAAATCTGACAGCCAAGCAGCTCCTGGCAGCTAATTTGATAGTTCTCTATCAAGTAAACCATTAGTGAATACATTGATCCTTTTTCTTTTCTTTCCATTTTTGCAGTTCTGCCTCGGCTACACCCAAGATTTCTCTGAACCAGTTGGGCAAAATTGATTTTTATTAGTTCCACTGGCCTTGTGGAAAATTATCTCATGAACTGGTTTTTTTTTTATAGGAAGACTCAAAGCACAGCGCAGAGTAAAAAATAAGCCTATAGCAGTCAAAACTGTTGTCTGAAATGTCTTCAGACTGGAAGGCTGAATTTATTGCACAAAACAAGTGCTTGCAAGGCGGAGGTGTGCAATCCTGCTCATTATCACTGGAAAGGGGAACCAAAAAGGCGAGTAAAAAATTAAATTTTAATAATGCCAGTGATATTTCCTAAATCTTTCCTGACAGAAAGATTCTCATTATTTTTATCTGTCTCCGAGTAGGTTTCTTTTAGAGCCTTCTCAGAGACGGGCTCAGCTATGATTGTTTTTCAGGCTTTAAAGCATCTGAAAAGCCAAATATATACAGAAAGAGAAATACACTTCAGATTGTTCAAGGAAGGACCGTGGCCATGCTAACGTTTCAGAGAGCGTATTTGCAGCCAACATTTGCTGGGAACGCCTTCAGCCTTCACAAAGGGGGTCCTTGTTGTTAAAGACAATTGCTGTGAACCCCCAAACAAAGGGGATCCACTGCATGCCGCAGTTGGCTACAGAAAGAGGCCAGCCCCTGCTCCTCACAAGTCCCAAGTTTTAGTGGGTTTTCCAAGTATCTCCATGTGGGCCACAAAATGAGATTGGGGATGGGTGAAGTAGGAGTGGAAACACCCTGTTTTCTTGATCAATGTGAAAACTCCCATTTCAAGTATCCTGTGGTACAGAATGGTCTTGGGAAATGAGGGAAACAAAGGCCTGAACCATTAATGTAGCCAACACGTGAGGGTGGGGAACTCCTAATAATTATTATTTCCTGAGTGTCTTGATCCCAAAAGGACTTAGAGGGACTCAATTCACCTAAATATACGCAGCCTGATACGGTTATTATATATGAACATCTCCAGGCCACCACCCACTCTGTGGAGCAGCCTGTGCATGTGAAGAAGTGGGTCACAAGTTTATCTTTACACACCTGGGAGCTGGCTTGAAGAAGGAGAGGGGTTCAGCTACACAAGTCAATATCGCCAAGATTTAAAAAAAAAAAACAAAAAAAAAAACAAACACTATTTTTTTCCCTACCCTGACGAGAGAGAATGATTTCCCTTGGGGCCTCATCACAGGGACATGCACAGTAATGAACAGTGTACTCCAGTATCTTATGGGAGACACAATGAGTTTCACAGTGTGGCCTCCTACCGCCCATCTGGGAGCAGGGGGTGCTGGGCTAAGGTACCTGAGAGCGCATGTGCAAACCAAGATGGTACTGTGCATACACAGGTGTGGATTCTGGGCCCAGGAGGCAAGATGGACGCCATACCCTTAGGCTCTTCAGCCAACACTTTCTGACAGCTGCATTTTTGACAAGTCTATAGCAAGAAGTTCCCTTAGTCTTCTACCTAGAGTAGAACCATCTTACAGTGATAATTAGGGGCCATGTTATCATCTGGTCCATGGAGAAAAAAGTCAGGAGGGCTAAGTGATCGTAAAGGATGGCTTCATTTGAAAACACAGGCTGCCTTTTGAAGCAACCCCTACTCCCTCCCCCCTTCTGACTTATCATTTTATCTTCCTTCTCATTGCAGTAGATAAAAGACTCATGAGAGTGTTTGAAAGCCATTATGCATCTGTCTGCTTTTATTTTTATTTTTATCAATAATCGATCCTGGACATCCATCTGCAAGGTTGCCTGTGTCTCATATGTTTACAACCATTTTAAACGTAGAGAAACTGAGGCACATTTACTTGCTTTCCCCAGAATCCACCAATAGATTGTGAGTAGACACAGTCTTACAGCTCGCTCTTTACCATCTGCTCTGGTAGAGCTATCTTGACTTCCTAGTGTAGAATCCTTTGACTGTTAACACGTTGCCTATAAATGTGTACCACCTTGGGAGTGGCAAGGCAGGCTTCTCCAGTTGTAGACTGAGGGGAGAGCAGGGGATTGGCCTACAGATGTGCAGTGAGGCACTGCCCTGTATTTGTGCACATTTAAAAAAAGGTGCATACAACCTGGCTTGTGACTTATATTGACCCCTCCCCAGCCTTTGACTCCATAGTTAGGAAAAGATTCTGGGCTAAACTGAATGCTATCTGTGTGGACCTGGTCACTGATGCCCTTGCAAAGGTTGCAACCTCAGACTTCTGAGAGCCACCAGGTCAGGAAGGCTGGGCTTGGGCAGGAGGGTGAGGAAGGAATGCCACAAACCTCACCCCCTCTCTTTTTTATGCCACTCCTGCGGCTTGAACTCAGAGCCTAAGAACTGTTTCTGAGTTTGTTTTGTTTTTGTGTTTGTTTTTTCTTGTGTCTTTTTTTTTTTAACCAGGGCTGAGAACCGAACCCAGGGCCTTGCGCGCGCCAGGCGGGCGCCCTTCCGCTGGGCTAAACCCCCCAGCCCCTGTGTTTGTTTTTTCTTAAGGCTAGCATTCTACCACTTGAGCCACAGCTCCACTTTCAGCCTTTTTGGTACTTAATTGGAGACAAGACAAACTTTCCTACAGAATGTGGCTTCAAACCACTGTCCTCAGATCTCAGCCTCCTGAGTAACTAGAATTACAGGTATGAGCCACTAGCACCCAGCTCTTTTCTATTTTTAATTTATTCTCAGTATTAGTCAGAGGTCCAGACAGGGCCTAAAGACTGGATCTGCCTTGCAGATGTGTCTTGCTTAGCCACCCAGTATTTTGGATAACTTGGACTTTGTTGCACAGTATTTCAAGCATGGTAGGTTTCAGAGAGAAGAATCCCTAGCTTGTCCTGGTAGATCTCATCTTGAGCTCTGAGTGTACTGGGTCCCAGCAGCAGTCCGGAGCACTTAGGAAAAGGACTGCCCTTCTAGCTCTCTGCAGCTGCTCTGTCACTCCAGCTCTCTGAAACTGCTCTCCTGTTGACTCAGCCCTGGTGCCAGATCTTTCCACCCTCCCAGGACTTCCCTCCTCTGTTATGTGGCAGCGCCTGGGCTTGAACACAGGCAGTCTAGCTCGCCAAATAAAGTCCCGGGCTTCTCCAGTGGCTAAAGGGCTTGAGAGGTCCTCCACCAGGGATGAACACACAAGTAGCTACTTCAGGAGGGCAGGAAGACTATTTTGTAGTAAAAAGGTCAGGACCCAGCTTGGATAAAGAGATCTTCTGGGACACCCAACAGCTTGGGGACAGAGAGACCCTAGGGGAATAGAACAAGAATTACCTAAAGTCCATAGGGAATGGCATCTCTTGGCCCAGCCACCAATGCCTACTCCAGGCTGACAGCTTTGCCAGGGCCACCATGATGGAGGGCCTTGCCTTCTCTTTTCTTTTCTGTCTAGCATTCTGTTCCAGCAGATTCATTACATGAATCTCTAGCAGTCCTGAAATCTCCCAATAACATCTGCTCACCTTTGTAAATTAGGCAGCAGTAGTTTTAAAAATGTATGGTACAAGGTCATTGGCAGTCCCCAGAGGATACCTGCCATTCTCTCCGTCCCCTGCTCTTAGATCAATTAAGCTCTTTAAAATGCTGAAAGGATGTAACCAATGTGCTAGTGATTGAAAAAGAGTTGATAAAAACATTCTATGGAATGAAAGTATGCTGTGGAGTATCATCTTAATAATTTACGGTGTATTTACATTAGCCACAAAGTAAAGGGTTGATTGGCTTTGGTTAACTAATGTGCCATGTTATAGGCTGAGCATCCCTAATCTCTGAAACACTGTGCAACACTGAAAAGTTTCAGACTAAACAACATTTGGGATTTTCCAATTAGGGCTGCTCTACTGGTAAGAAATCTATGCAAATATTCCAAAATCTGAAACGCTTGCAGTCCCAATCATTAGACATAAGAGGTACTCATCCTGTTCCGATAGCAATAAACTGTGTGCCCAATTACTGTGCTGTGGAAAGAAATATAAAAATGAAGATGTCAAAGACTCACCGTTTACTGAACCGAAGAGCAGTCTAGTAGAGAATGTTAAGACTGGACAGATACATGAATCGTGATCATGTGTCCTACAGCGGGAAGATGATGCTGAGGTTGCAGGTCTGGACCTTGTCTAAAAAGATTCTTTAAAAACAAAAAAAAAGTGGAAGCACTGGGCATAAAATACAGGTCCGAGCAGGGCCCCAAATGGAGCCCAAGTGAAAGGAGCTGCAGCTGCAGCCACCATCACCGCAGCTGAGCTTGCTGCTGCTACTGTCACAGGCACCGCGCTGGAGGGACCCTGAGGTCTCACCAAAGTGTAGAGCCAGGTAGAATTTCTAGCTCCGTGGTTCAGAAACCTTCAGATTTCTTGCATTTGGACCTTTTGTTGTTGTTCTGTTTCATATTCTTCTTTGAAACCGGAACATGTTATGGATCGTAGGCTGGCCTTGAATTCTCTGTCTAGCCCAGCCTTTTCTACAAGGCACTATCCTCTGGGGCCTCCTCCTCTCTAGCACTGGGATTTAGGTCTGCATCACCATGCCCAACTTGGGGCTTCATTTTTTTCAGATAGGAGACTAATGGCAAATTATTCATGTGTTACTCAGATAAGAGAAAGTAATTTCCAAGGAAATAGTAGATTTGTCATGTTCAAGTAAGAACATTGGAGGGAAAAAAAAAAACAAAAAACCTGCCATCTCCTTTCCCCATCATTCCATAAAATACAGGACATTTTGACACAAAAGCAGTAAGAAGGATGTCATCCTTCACCTTCCCTGTTTTTCCACTTTTCTTCCTCAGCTTTGGCCTGGAATTGGGGGCCACTATCCCTGGTCATCCTGGGCCCCCTTTCCGTGGTCTATAGAGACTCCAGTGAGGAGCACAGACTGCTAAGAGACCTCAGGTTGCCAACATAGACCAACACCATGCTTGGCACCGTGAAGGTACTGAAGGCACTACTACTGTGTGAGCCTGGCTCCGGCAGACCTGGCTGAGCCCAGAACAGTTGGCCTTGGGCACACCCTTCACCTCTCAGGTTATCAGGGTCCTTGACTCTATAACAGGAAGAATCTAGACTTGGGCCTGAAGACCTTTTCCCGTCTTTAACAGTCAGCAAGCCTGTGAGGGATTAAGTCTACCTTGCATTTCTAGAGCATCGTTATTTAATTCTCTTCAAGTTCTTTCCAAGTCCTTTGATGGAGGCGAGCTGCCCTTGATCCTATCTGAAAGTGGTAGCCAGCAAAGCTGCTCTCTGGGCCCCCTGCTGCCACCGAGTCCATATTTAAGAATGGCAGTGGCCATGGTACCCAGGCTGCAGTCTGATGTACACATTTGGCAACGCAGAGTGCAATGTAGCTACACATCACTGATCAAAACCCCTTGGACTTATCAGTGGGTCTGACAGGTACTTGTTGGCTGCTTTCCCAGGCTGGGGAGGGATCCCTGAGCCAGCCAATGGGACGCCCTCCCTTCCCTTTTGATGTGGATGTTCCCACCTTGGAGGGAAAGCTCAGCCCTGCTGGGGAGACTGTCAATGAGAAGCCCTGAGAGAGAACAAGCATCCTGGCAGGGCCCAGAAAGGCAGCAGCTCCCTGGACTCCTGCCTCCACCTTTCCCACCAACCCTGGGAGCTCCCCAGGCATCTTTGCAGCCTCTGATGATGGGTGTCTCTCACCCTCCTTGAAAAGCCACCTCCTTTCACAGAATTGCCTGTCACCTCTACACACAAGAAGGACTTCGCTTCTGAAAGTCTTTAATGATCCAGCCCTCTCCTCCCTGGTGTGGTTGGTGAGTTGGATGGTGTTGTTAGGGAAGAAACTGGAACTCAGGTGTCATGGTGTGACTTGCTGCAGGTCACCCCAGGCAAACCCAGAACTACAGGTGCACAAACAATTGTCCCGGTCCTGCCATTACTCTAATGACAACTTTCCTTCATTGATTGCTCATTGTACCACCACCAGCTCTCACAAGGCAGGAACCCTGGGCTTCCTTCTTAATCCAGAGACACCTAGCCAGACCTGCCAGTACCATTCCATGCCACTCTCGTAATGCTTGTAGCATTTAGGCTCAGGATGGATAAACCGAAACCATGGCACCATCTCCTATGTATACCCTGTGCCTGCAAAGTAAAAAAAAAAAAAATCTTTTGGTTTTTAGATGGCTGCAAAGCATTTAAAAGAAGAATTTTTGTTAACACCTGAAAAATCTTTAGATTCTCTCTTTTTTTTTTTTTTGCCAGTCTGGGCCTGAACTCTGGGCCTGGGCGCTGTCCCTCAGCTCTTCAGCTCAAGGCAACTGCTCTACCACTCAAGCCACAGTGCCACTTCTGGCTTTTTCTGTTTATGTGGTGCTGAGGAATCGAACCCAGGGCCTCATGCATGCAAGGCAAGCACTCTACCACTGAGCCACTTTCCCAGCCCAAAATCTTTATTTAAATAGTTTTATTGGAACCCAGCCATGTTCATTTACATATCACCCAGGCAACCCAAAGTTTATGATTTGCAAACAGAGATGATATGGTGTCTCCCCACCCACTTCAGTTCTGATATTAAAATCCTATCCTCCAGCATCTCAGAATGTGACTGTATTTGAAAAGGGGGTCTTGTTAAGATGAGGGGGATTGGTTTTCTTCAGAAAGGAAGGAGGATTCGAACACAGGTGCATAGAACACAGGTACCTTCGCTAGAGAGTTTCCCTAGGTCTTCCAGTGGCTAGTTTTACTGCCCTGACACACCCCAAGGAGGGGCATCATTACTGAGGGCTAAGGAAGAAGGCAGTAGGAGGTGTGGCACTAAACTGCCAAGCACCCCAACTGCCAGCATCTGTCATGACAGCATGGCTGGTAGTGAGCAGAAATGTGGAAATTAGAACCAACTATGAGATGTGAGCCTTCAGACAAGCCTGTGCTAGTAGTTTTAACTCTGCATTCGGCAAGATTTTCCTCTGGTTTTAAATGTTTCCTTTTGTTTATTTTTGTTATTGCTGTTATTTTAACCTGGGTCTCATTATATCACCCAGGCTGGTCTCAATCTTCCTGGATGCAAATTATCTGTAGCCTCCATCTCCCAGCGCTGCTAGCAGTGGGATATTCATTTTTAAAGAATATCTGTGCCAAGCTCTGTAGATACAAAAGACAAAAGAGAGTCAGGCTCTAGAAAGTTCACTGTGTCCTTGAGGGGTGTGGACAAGAAGTTTTTGGTGGAAGTGAGGGAGTGTGTCATAGATCAAAGATTGGGTTTGGGAATCAGGATGACTCCAATCTAAAAATGCTTTTTGATCACAATAGAAGACCTAAATCAAACAGTGTAGTTTATTTATTTTTTCATATGAGTCAAAGTTGAAAGGAAGTGTAGCTTTCTACAGAAGCCCTGTGTTCTGCCAAACATATATGTGTGTGTATATGTATTTATACATATAAATATATGCATGCTTGAATTTCACTGGGCCTGGTTGCTCATGCCTATATTCCTAGCTATTCAAAAGGCAGACATCAGGAGGATCAAGTTCAAGGCCAGTCTAGACCAAAAAAAAAAAAAAATTAGCAAGACTTCATCTCATCCAACAAGTCAAACATGGTGAATCTGTACCTGTGATCCCAGCTACACAAAATGCTAATGGTCTGAGGCCTGCCCTCCACAAAATCTGGAGGTACCATCTGGAAAACCAAACAAAAAATGTAAGGCTAGGGCATGGCTCAAGTGATAGAAAGTGCCCCCATAGCAAGTATGAGCCCTGAGTTCAAATCCCAATTTTGCCAAAAGAAGAAAAAGAAAGAAAAGAACAGAAGGAGGAGGAGGAGGCGGCGGCGAAAGTTGTTCACCATGTCTTCAGAGACCTAGGTTCCATTTCTCCGCTCTCTGCTGGCCAGCTCTTTGGCTCAGGCTGACTTCCCTCAGGGAGATGAAATGGCAGCAGATCTGGGCTTAGCATCCACATTCCAAACAGTCCTGCAAAGGTGGAGAGTCTCTCTGTTGGCTCAGCATAAGTCGCAAAGGCTGCTCAGGATCCAGTCATGGTGGCTAGGGGTGGAGACCGTCTTTATCTAGCTCACCGCTCTAAGTGGCATCAGATGTTTGGAACTGAGAGGTGAATGCGGCCAACACAATACATACTTCACACAGGAAGCAAGGGCCTCACGGGGTATCTGGCACCTCAGCCGGATCCTGTGGTTCATCGGGGCACAGTGTCATTGGTCTCAGCTGAAAAAGCTCCTGTGTGAGAAGAATTATGACCAAGCAGATAGAAAAGGTACCCTGCTTTTCATCCGTCAAGAAAGAAGTTTCTGCGCTCTTCATATCTTGGCTTCTGGGATGCATTAGCTCTGTCCATCTTGTTTGATCATATGTGCCCTCTTGCCTGTCGAGAGGGGCAGTTGTGTAAGTCGGGATAATTTAGGTCATGTGTGGTAACAAGCAGCCCCCATCTTACTGTGAGAGCAGGTGAGCGCAGGGACAGGCTCTACAGGCGATGACTAGGATTCAGTTAGAGTCTCACCAGCCTCTAACGACACTCAGTGCGCTGAAGCCCTCCTGATCAGAACAGCAGGGAAGACCCAGCAGGAGGCTGGAGCCGGGCAAGTCACTGCATGGGAGTGACCCTGAGCACTTTCACCCACACTTCATCTGCCAAAGCAGGCCCCCCGGCCACCCTAACCTCAAAGTCAACTCAGCGTGTGCAAGAAGTTGAAGAGAACCGGTATTGGGGGCCGTGGAATCCTCCAGCAGGAATGGAAAACCATGTCAGGTGGCGCGGGCTGCCTCCCTCGCTTGAACCAGCCTTCTATGATTCCAGCTGCCACACGCAGGAGCATGTTTCCAGAAGGGGAGGAGACTGGCAATGGCGAGATTAACCGCTCCCTGGGTTCCACTCGGGGATCAGTACTTTCAATAGTACTTTGTGAGTTCAGCCTCAAAGTAAATGGTTAATTCATCTTATATCAACAGCACTGTGATTCATAATGTAAACTTGGGAGAATTTTTGATGTTTCGGGCCTACATTCCTTTTAATTTGGCTCTGCATTCTTTTAAAGCCACAGTGTGCTCACTTAATAGAATGCAGCATGCAAATGCACAAGTTTCTGCCTGGAGGCAATTTAGCCTGGCTGTTTCAATGGACGTCTTCTTTCAAGTGTATACTCTTTCTTAAATTATTTACTGGGTAAACACACTTTGCATTTTCAAAAGGGAGATTAAGACTGCTTGCTGCAGACCTAGCTGAACATCTAGGCCCCTTCCTGGCCTAGAGTTAGGAGCAACTTAACTTTGGGCTACCCCAAAAGTTCCTTCTCTGGCTTGCTAGCTAGCAAGAGCCTCTCGGCCTGGCTTGCTTTTCCGATTCTCTTTCCTGAGATCCTTTCTGCTTTGCCCAGAGCAACACAGGCCAGCAGCGGCTTGGTTGACTGTATTCCAGGCCTCTTCACAGATGGGGCCGGCCACTGCCAGCCTGCTTTCCCCTCCCAGCTGGCTCAGTCCTGTCCATTCAAGTGCCCTGGTGACTCTCTTTTCTATTCCTTAGAGAGCCTGTGTTTGCCCATCTCCTCTGAGGTCCTAAATTGGGTTGATGTCCTCACCAGCCAAACTTACTCAACAACCACAGGGTTGTAACTGCAGACTTAGCAACCTCTGTTCCAATTCTTTCTGCCCTTCTGTTCCCTTAGTTCCCAATACTGGGTAGCCCTTGGAAGCAAATTCCCTTTTCCTGCCAACCTCCTCCGGCAGCACACACTTCCAGTCCTGGGGGACCGGGCCTGCTCTCAGCCCCTGGGAGGAGACACTAGGGCTCGGGGGGCTCTGGAAAGCCCTGCGGAGCACGTCTGTGTCTGTGTCTGTGAGGGATGTGCTCAGCTTTCAGCTCCAGCCTTTTCCATGCAGACCTCTTGACGTGTTTCTGCACATGAATCTGCCCAGATTTCTTCTCCATTCTCTCTTGAATGGAGTCATGACAAGTTACTGGGGGCCAGGCTGGGTGGCCCTCCTTCTTTGGACTTTCTCTCTGGACTCCCTGAGCACCCCTGGTGGTGTCAGGCCTTCTGAGGTGGCTTCCACGTGGGCCTCACAGGTAGTTCCACTGAAGCCGCAGAGGGGTGGTGACAGGAAAGCCAGTGGACTCTGGGTGTACTGAGAGTAGGGAGCCCAGCTAGGAAAGCCAGGAAGAGCTGAGGATATAGGGGTGCCTAACACTTTTCCAGCCAGGCCTCAGTACCATCCATGGTTTATCCTACATGAACATCATGCATGCCTTGGGGTCCTCAGCTCACACATGCAATAGTCGCCACCCAGGCTATACAAGAGACATCCTAGACATCCTACCACAGATCACATAAGACCGAACTTTAACAATGTTTCCAGGCTTTGTTGTTGTTTTGGGGTGGGTTTTTGTTTTTGTTTTTGTTTTGTCAACTGTGGGGCTTGAACTCTGGGCCTGGGCACTGTCCCTCAGCTCTTCAGCTCAAGGCGAGAGCTCTACCGCTTGAGCCACAGTGCTACTTCTGGTCTTCTAGTGGTTTATTGGAGATAAGAGTCTCACAGATTTTTCTTCCCAGGCTAGCTTTGAATCACAATCCCCAGATCTCAGCCTCCTGAGTAGCTAGGATTACAGGCATGAGCCACCAGCGCCCAGCTGTTTCCAGGCTTTTAATGTGTTTTACAACCATGTTTCCATTATGCGGATAGCCTTTGCAAGTCTCGTGTAGGTAACTATGGTAAACAGAGTTGTTGTTGTTTTTTTGACTGTGGCGTGGCTTGGCTTGGGGGTGGAAGGGGGGAGGTAGACAAAGGGAAAAAAAATCAATTTGAGTTTTAAATGGACCCACCAAGTAGCACCAACCAGTGTCTACCATTACCCTTATTTAATAAGTCTTGAAAGTCTTGTTTTTTTATTCACTTTACTTTTTTTGTTGGGGGGGGGGGGGTTCTGCCTCCTGACTAATTATGGCCTGTTAAGTCTGAATTAGTTGTCATGGCAGAAGAATTAATGACAGGCACGGACTTTTTAGTTGGAAAAGGAAGAAATAAACGAGACAGATCTTAGCCAAGCCCTGAGTGATAAATGAGGACCAAGTAGACCATTCATCTCCTGCAAGGAAAGTGGACACGGGTACTCAGGCAGTTTTGCGGAAGATGTGTCAGCAAATGCGATCATTTTGTAACCTGTCAGGAGGAGAGGGAGTTGGTCCTGTTAGGGGCCACCGAGGAGTGAGCTGCTCTGATGTGACAGCTTCCATCCATCTGTGTAGGGGTAGAAGGGAGGGTGGATGAGGAGGTCTACAGCCAAACTACTGCCTGATGTCATCCTCCTTCCAAGAAACAGATACCCAGATGCTTTAGAAACCGCCCCAAATACCTGTGCAGGTCGCTTTGTGAGATACAAAGGAGTAGCAGGTCCCCGCTCAGTTGGATGCTAGCTTCGTCCCCCCTGGCTCCTCCCTGCGGAAGACCCCACATCCCACGTCCAGAGCCGTGCAGAGACCTCCTCCTACCTGCATCTGCAGAATGGTGGGATGCAAAGTGGGGGGTGTTTAAGCCAGGGGGCAGCCGGCGAGACGGCCAGCCAGCCAGCCACTTCTAGGTTCTATTTCTGTGTGCTCTGAAAGGGAGCAAGCGAGTGAGCGAGCAAGCGAGCGTGGGCGAGGCTGGTGACCTAGGCTTCCTTTGAAAGTCTCAACAAAGCATTCTGATGTGCGACCTCCTTTCTCCGAATGAGGTAACAAATTATGAAACAACTTCATCGGAAGCTCTCTGCAGGCATCTGGAGCGCATTTCTCCTCTGTTCTCCTCTGAGGTCGCCTTCAGCAGGGCCACACCGAGGTGCTGAGCATGCCTGAAGCTGTGGGCCCACCTCCCAACCCACGCCAGGCACCCTGAGGACTTGGTTTCTCATTTCCATCTTGCCCCAATATGCAGCTCCTGGCCCGATGGAGGGATGGCGCGTGAGCCCCAGTGACAGGTGACAGCTTCGCAGCTGAGGCTGGAAGCTTGACACTTGCTTCTTAATCCTGCCCTCCTCTTGCTAAGTCTCTCTTTTACTTTTCCCCAGGTATTTTTATATAGGTAAGTTCCTTACTGACATATGTTTCCTTGGAGCCTCACTTTCACAGGAAACACTGGCAAAAAAAAAAAAAGAGAAAAAAATCAGGCTTGTCTCACATTTTAAATTAAAAAGAGAAGTTCACATGAGGCCCTTGATCACTTAAAGGGACTACATGGTACTAGAGCCGGGAAAGCCATTGATTCGTCTGAGTACAGCATGACAAGCACTATAGAGCTGTTCCTACAGCCAGAAAGAAGCTGCCTGATTCTGTGTGTGTGTGTGTGTGCGCACGCGCACGTACACGCACTCTTCTCTATCTGTATGTCTCTGTCTCTTGCTCTGTCTCTCTCTGTCACACACACACACACACACACACACACACACACACACACACACACACACACACACACACACACACACACACACACACACACACACACACACACACACACACACACACACACACACACACACACACACACACTGGGCTTCCCCCCACCTGGCTGGCTGTGGTTTCATTCGTCAACTTGGCCTTGGATGATCTTTGTCAGAATGACCTCCGTTTATCTATGTGCATGTGTCTCTCTTCTCTCTCTCCCAGAATCATCCAGAACCGCATCCTGCTTGTCATCCTCGGGATCATCGTGGTCATCACCATCCTGACGGCCATCACTTTTTTTGTCAGAAGACACTGATGTATCTGCTCTCCCTTGATAAACAGCAACCGCCGCTTGTTCTGAGTAATTAAGACAAAATGGTCACATGAATCATTCTTCGGCACTGACAGGCCCTGGGTGACCCCTTCTCTCCTTCCCCCACTGTTCAGCTAAAGTGCAAAGAGTGTAAAAATATTTTCTATTCCTGTTTGCATGTGGGTTGGTTTCCTTCGTTGTTGTTGGTTTTTTTTTAAATAGGTGAAGGTAAATGTTTGCCTTTTGGTAATTTCATCTACAGTCCAAAATAGCATTGGTAACATTCTTTCTTACCCTGCGGCCATGTCAGGGGTCAGGGTTTGGGAGAGGGTATGATGAGTCACTCACATCTGTTGTCACATACCTCTCATCACCAAAATGTCCTTCTGTGATGTCCAAGGGTGGAAATGCATAGACAACCAGGGACCAGAGCCAGTAGCACGCACGGCCAGCCCTGGCCCTTCTCAGCACAGTGAATATAGTCAACCTGCCCACGTGCTTTTGTTGCTAAGGAGAGTATTTAATGTCACTTGTACAGGAAATTGACTTAGCACTTTCCATGTTTTTCTATTGCGTAATTGTTTTTAACCCAAGAATATTTTTGCTGAACCTGCACCCATGCCCACTTTTTCACAATTTTGGTTACCGGCTCCAAGAAACATTTTCTTGCTTTCCCCAATCCCCATACTCCTCAGAATTTTACTGGTAATGGGAGCCCTGGCTCAGTATTTTAAATGTGACCTCATCATCCCTGACCTATGTAAGCATCTCTGTATCCTTTCACTTGGAATATTTGCTCTGCCAAAAGCAGCCCTCATACATGGAGAAGGTCTGACGAGGTCCTCTCCACATCCATCCCAGTATGTAAAGAGAACATGAATATTTCAGTAAGAGCAAGAACATGACTCCATCAATGAGAAATTTCCACTGTCCTCATGAATAGGTGAGAGTCCAATAAGATGGTCCACTAGAAATCAACTTTCTGGGGGGAAAAAAATGTCCACCAACTTCTCAAAGAATAGGGCATTCCAGCAGATTCCAGCAGAGGGTTACACAGAGTGGGTTTATTTTGTTTCCACCCCCCCGCCCCCCGCAAACAAATGGATTCCTGAATTCACTGTGTATTCAACCTCTAATGTGCTTCGTGATTTTTCTTTCATTCTTTCTGAGATTACTGGGAATCACGTTCAAAATGAGTTCATTGTGATCCAGTTTAGAAGCTGCCCAAGCTGAGGTCATTTTCCTCCGAGTCATAAAGTAAAATATGTTTTTCTTAAGACTTCATGTGCACTTATGGGTTCTGTACTGTCTTTTGAATATGATTGGAAGGTTTGAATTCTTGAAAAGCAAACCTGTTCCCTTCATAAAACAAATGCCAACCAACCACCAATGCAGTACTTCATTTTTTCCCTCCTTTCCAGAAGAGGTATGAGAGGGAATGTAAAATGCACAATCCACTGGAGAAATCAGACCTATAGAAACAGGCCAGAGCTTACTTGTGTTCAGCTAAATCATTTAGTATTGTGTAAATAAAACCACAGCCTTTATGTCAGAAGGATGGTATGGGATTTTGGTGGAGCGAAGCAGAGCAGCTGTGCTAATTTTCCTGTCAGCGCAAGGAACCCACGGCTGCAAGAACCTTTTATTCTGACAATGGAATTCTGGATGTGCTAAACACAGACACCATCAAAAACAAAACCAAAAACAAGCAAGCAAACAATCCCCTTCTCCATCTGGGACACAAATAGTCCCAAAGTATGCCAACCCCTCTGGAGGCTTCCTGCACAATTGTTGACCCTAGCTTAGGGCCTCATGCCTCCCATCTACCTCTCAGCAGTCTTCCCAAGGATGATCTAATTACCAATGCTTCCTGGCTTCTCAATATTCTGCTAAGATCTGTGTCCATGCTGAAGCCATGGAATGAGAAAGAAGGGATGTTCATTGCTCACCTCTCCAGTGGCTTGTTCTGCCAACTTTATGTCTTCACCAGTTCATCAAACCTACAATTTTGCCCCAGCTCAACCCCTGCTTGGGAGTAAGAATTGGAACATCAACATCCCCAGAGAGCTACCACCTAGACCAGACCAGGATGCTGGTCTGAGGGTCCCTCCTGGATGCCACGGGCAGGACTCAAGCAAGCCCTGGAGGAAGCCAAATGGCTCATCCTTCTACTCTCCTCATCCTTCTACTCTCCTACTGGGGAAGGAAGAGAGTCTACAAACTTGAAGCAGGTCATAGATCTGTGAAAGGTTCTAGGTAATATGTAGACTTCCATTATTGTTGGATAAGCCTAAAATTGGGAGGTTTTGTTTGAAGAACAAGAAGTTCAGAAGGACGAGGAGGAGGAGGAGGAGGAGAAGAGGAGGAGGAGGAAGAGGAGGAAGGGAGGGAGGGAGAAGGGGGAGGGGGAAGGAGAAGAGGAGGAAGAAGAGGAAGAGGAGGAGGAGAAAGAGGAGGAAGAAGTTGTTTGCTGGAAGGGTGGGGGAGGGGAGGGGGTGAAGATGAAGACATGGAAGAGGAAGAAGAGAAGGAACCCCTCCACATATAAAATTCATGCAGACTAAACAGTTTCCCTAACAGAATAAATAAAGCGGATGGTACCCTGCTCCAGAATCAAAAGCAATTCAATTAAAGTCTCTGAAGTTGTAAAGAGTTTTAAATGCTCCACGTTGAAGGGGAATGACTGCAAATGCAGTGGGCTTGACGTCAGCTGCCGGGCCTGAGCCGGGAGGCCATTTGCTATTCTGTTTCAGGCAGGCTGGATTGTCTTATTTTGGAACCAGCTTGGTGGGGGGTTTGCTTTGCTACTGCTTCTGAGCCCTGAGCTTCAAAGGCTGAAATTAATAGTGAACAAAATTGTGCAGCTCTGGCCGTCCCATGCGGGGCAGGCCCATTGAGAGTTATCATTAAGTAAAGAAATAAAGAGGGGAAAAAAGCCTGCCTGTTCCAAAAACCTCATCAGATAATGACCTCAGTGATTGGGTTTTCATTACCAAACAGCATCCAGAGATTATCAACCCATCGAAGAGGGGAGGGAGAGAAAGAAAGAAAGGGAGGAGGGAGAAAAAGCCACTGTCTCTCTCTTCCTCTCTTTCTCCTTTTTTTTTTTTTTTTTTGCACATCTTTTCTTTAAAACTGTCAGATCATTTCAGTATTTCAAATCCGAGGAAAACAGCCTGCCTGCTGCTGTATTTGAAGTTGTAATGGTGTCAAAAAGTCACGACTGACTGACAGCCGTCAGTCCCAGAGGGGCTCATTAAATCATAAAAACTTGACAAGGAAATAATTGCGCATCGCCAGCAACTTGGCGCCTGTTTAGACGTTTTTATTTTCTTTCATTATTAGTCCCCACCATTACGTTCATTAACAAATTGCATTAAACAACTGTTAAGAGCTAATGATTTGTTTATCGCTTTTTTTATTATTATTATTTAAACATTAGCTGTGTCATGTGGTACCTCAGCAGACTCTTGCCGTCGTCTGACTGAATATTTTTTCCACTCCGAGCTCTGGGTACTGTTGGAATATGAAATAGATTATTCATTACTCTCCTTTTTGCCACTGATTTGGTTTCATGTAGTGTCTTGCACAGAGAAAGATGAAAACTTGTCAAAAATAGGTTATATCTTATTCGAAGGGGCAACAATAGCAGCAGGTACAGGCACACTTTAATATTTAATTAAGGTTGATGTTAACCCCTTTAAATGACTTTAGCTGTAAGTTATATTTAAATGCAGAGGAGAAAAATAATTGTTCTTAATTTGCAACCTGTTCAGCAGGCATTCTTTGTGGAGTTAGCTGGAATTTTAGAGCTGAATGTTGTGTGTGTGTGTGTGTGTGTTTAATTATGAAATTTCCCACCATAAATATTTATCACCGTTTGTCTACGTAGCTGAGAATTAAGTACAAGTGATGATTTCCTTGTCGCTTTGGTTTGAACTCCTGGCCTCGTGGGGCACTCTGCCTGGGGAGTGGAGGTGGCTTTCCCAGGAGGAATGTGTGCAGGAAGGGATGACTCCAAAGACGGCTGGCTCGTTGTGGCTAGTGCTGGTTTCAAAGGAGCTGCTGTGAGTCCCCAGGCTGCCGGCCACTTGCCTTCCCCTTCAGCCGAGTGTGTGGTTGGAAGACTGTGGTCTGCCTACAGAGAGAGTCATAAAGGGAAACCTGTGTGTCCGGAGGACTGGTTAGGGGAGGGTGTCGTGGGGTGTCTTGGGTGCCCCTGGGCAGCTCATTACCAACACAGCTTCCCTAATGGGCAACAGGAAGCGCTGTGTGGGGATTGACCTTCCACCCTTTTTGCCTTTCCGGGACTTGCCATTGGAGAATTGATCCGCTTTTCCATGGGCTGCAACTTGAAGGGCCAGCGAGGACAAAGCCTCGTGACCAGCCTAAATGGGAAGTCAGGGGCACACTTCAGCCATATCTGCTGTGTTCACCTGCTCACTGGTTTGCTGGATTCGTTTACGTGTCCGAGGAAGCTTCCCTCAGAGGTCTGGTCTGTGGCACTTCAGGGCTGGGATGTTACGGGTGCAGCCAGGCCCAGGGAGAACACTGCAGCCATCCCACCCTCCCATCCCCAAAGGTACCAAACCCATCAGGTAGCTCCACCATGGGTGTAGGGGAAGGAGACAGATGGGTTCCTTGCTCAGAGGAGCAGACCCTAGGGCCACTCTCCCAGGACGGGTGGTCCTGCAGACGCCAGTGGTCCAGCCCTGCAGGTATAAGCCAGGCAAAGGCTGGTTTCAGGCCTCATTGGTCACTATAGACATGGACTTGTGGACAGGCCATGGTCTGGAGGGCTTCAAGGCTCCATTTCCATCCAGCCCAGATTATTCACGTGACAGTTCACCTCCCTTGGATGATAACCTCACCTCAGCAGAAGAAAGGAAGGCTTTGTGGTGAGCTGTCCCCACTGACCCCCAGTGACCCTGGCTGAGGCTGCTACTTGAGACTAGAAACCAACCCTTACCTTTGACCTTCCCCTGTGTTGGAACTCATTCACTTAAACCTGAGCCCAAGAAATAGTCTTGCTTGTGAGTGTATTGAGTTCAGACTCGTGGTATCTGTCCAGCAGAGGCTGTCCATATAATGTGATCAGTCATCTGACTCAAAGACTAGATGCCATTCTTTTTAAGTGGAACAGGTGACTGAACAGCTCAGAGAAGATATTGAAGCAACCAAGTCTAGGCAGTACAGGAGTGTGAGGAGCCAGAGCATCCTGGAGTAGGTGATGGAGTGAGGGACAGCATTCACCTCGAGTGAAGGTTGAGACACAGTGCTGAAAGGCTACCATCTTCTTGGGGTTTCAGGTCAAAGCCAGCTTACTAGTCAGGTGGCCAGACAGGTGGGGTGGGAATGTAGGGGGAGGGAGGACCACATGGTTAGTGTACTGGACTCATCCCAGGGACAAGCAAAGAGGGGCAGGGGCGGACAAGAAGGCCTTCCTCTCTAGCACTCTGAGCCCATCACCGCCCTTCATCAAGAGGAGCTCACAAAGGGGACGACAGGGCCCCATGCCCAAGTTGGGCACCACTGTCTGCAGCTTCAGACTGCTGTGGGGAAAGCACTTCCTCTTTTGAATCTCCTCGTTACATGTGCTACATAAATACCCAAGGCATCCCAGTGAGGGGGGAATGGCAGGAAGCAGAGCTCGGACTGTGAGAGGACTGTGATTCTGTGAACTCATGCGCCCTCCTTCCCTTCATCCACACAAGGCCCTTTGGCGTGAATAATAGCTCCACAGCCCGTATTGATCGGCTGCCCGTGCAGCCCCGCAGAGAGCCTGGGCTTTTCCTGGGGGCAGGATGGAAGAAGCTGAGCAGTGCAGCCACCTCCCCGCTCCCCAGGCCTTCCCCAGGTATATTCAGGAGGGGACAGTGCCTGGGAGGAGGGGAGGGGATTCTCCAGCTCAGCTTCATTGTTGTAACTTTTTTTATTTTTAACTTATTTTGCCAAGAAAAGTATATAAGTTAAGAGAGAAATGGGGGAGAAGGGGCCTGGTTTTGTTTTACTTTTTCTGGTCAGGCCCCACAGATTTGAAAATGAACATATATAGCTTCTCCAGGCTCCAGCCTTTCTCTAGACAGTTCTGCCATTGTATACCCAGCATTTGACTAAATAGCATACCATACTGCATTTTTCTGTTAATTTTTACTCTCCTGTACCATCAGAAAGTAAAGGTGAGAAGGTGGCTAGAAACCCTCACTATAGGGACAGGGCTTGTTACTAAATTCAGTGGACAAGTGCCCTCCACAGATGGGTAACTGCTGGAATGAAGCTTGCCAGCCTCATGATGACAAAACTGTGGCTGGTTTGTCCCCTGTCCTGATCTGCATCTCTGCTCAACCTAGGAAAAGTTGTCAAGGTCTTGGCCCCATGAGAGAGTCTCAGTTGTGCATCTCTAAAGATTCTGACCTTCTGACCTTCAATGCTATGGCATAGGCTCAGTCTTCCATAGGAAGCTTCAGTTCTCCTGGCCACAGACTTCTTTGGGTGACAGTGTCTGTCTCTTTCCTGGGAGCCCATGTGGAGTTTGTGAGAGGAGAGACCTTGCCTGTGTAGGAGCATATTATTGGACTTAGAAAGAAGAAAAAAGGTCAGTTCTGTGGAAGTTTCTCTGCATTGCTGCCTAATGGTAATGACAGGTCTGGACACAGCGTTGTTCCTCAGGCCTCTACAGTGCCTGACCAGGTCCTGGGGCTTCAAGGCCTGTGTCCTGATCAGGGCCACACAGAAGGCTCTGCCAGGGAGCAGTAGGGGTCAGGGATCCCCTGGCAGGTCCATGGCGATTACTACAAATCAGGATGGAGAAGCAGAAGACAGGACTGGTCCTGAACTTCAGCACATGACTTTCCTCTGTCAGCTGTTTTCAGCTGCATCCATTCATTTCTGGTTAATTGGAGATACACATTTCAAGGACTTTGCTGCTGGGCTGGCTTCAAACTTTGATCCTCAGATCTCATCCTCCTGAGTAGCTAGGATTGTAGATGGGAGCCACCGGTGCAGGGGAGGGGGGGAAGGTGTCCTACACTCTAAACCAGACCCTACACTGGGGCGGGGGGAAGGGAGAAGGACAGTGTAACCATGTGACCATCCGAACCTCTCTGTGTCAATCATCCAGTCACTCCGTGTCTGTGTATTCACCCCACGCACCCCTCCTCAACTCTAGCCACATTTCTAAAGAAAGGGCCGAGGAGCCGGGGGAGGGGGAGAACCAGATGGCCCCAGTGAGCTCATTATTGTCCCCCAGACCTCTAAATAATCAAACCTTTCCCCTTTTGAAGGAGGAGAAGTGTAATCAGATTTATTCATTTGGCCCATGAATATTTACTGAGCATCTACTATATTCCAG